TGTCTGTGGGGAGAATGAGCAGCTGAGATAGGAGAGAAAGGGAGAAAGGCTGAGATTTGACTCAAGAATGCTAGATACAAAAACACTCCCTCCGGGCATCTGATGTGGGGTAGTGGATCTGCTACTCTGTGGGAATTCCTCTGGCTTCCACCCTTGCTCAGCTCTGCCAGGATATCTGTCATTAAAGCTAATAGCACCAAGACACCAGAAGTCTCCAGGGACGACTTCTTCCAAGGGGAACCAACCCAAGCAAACAGCATCCCCTGGAACTTCTTTCCCTTTGAAGAAGCAGGGCAGAGGTAAGAAGTCTTTCATCCAGAGAAGAATCCCACTTTTCTCCTGGCCCCGTGTTCAAACTCACCCAGACAGAAGGACTGTTTTTCAGAGTCTGGCCTCTTTTGGGAACAAGCCCAAGCCCAGTCCTTACTGCTATTAAGCCCATCATAAAATATGCCCACCCAAGTTCTGCTGGGTTGAGGGGGAGCCGGAGGGGACACAAACTCTGCCAAATTCACAAAGTTGCCAATTCCAGGTTGGGAAATTCCTGGAAATCTGGGGCTGGAGCCTGGGGAGGACAGGGTATAATGGCACAGAGTCCACCCTCCAAAGCAGCCATTTTCTGAACACAGACTGATCTCTAGTCCAGAGATCAGTTGGGATTCCAGACCACCTCCAGGCTGTTCTTAGACACTGGCGTGGCATCCCTACATCAGGCAGAGGTGGGGAAACAGCCAAAATGCTTGGCATTCTGGCCATCCAATCAGCATGAATGAGTCATCACATTTGATTCCATCTGGGACCCCTGTCTGGGCCTCCTAGCCACCAAAAGGCAAGCTTTGGATTCTTGCCGGCATCCCCCGTAGCAAGACCTGAACCCACCCCCTCCTGTGACTGTGCCCTTGGAAAGTATTTAATGAGCCTTGAAAACCATAATGAGGAAACATTCAAACATGTAACATTCTAGCATGCACCATACAGAATTAATCCCATAACTAAACAGAGTGCACTGTAATTCCATAGAGGATAAATCCTAGTCGTTCTGTCAAGACTCATTAAAGAGGGTGGTTGGCCGAGAACCAACACTGAACATAGAAATCACCACCAATAAATACCTTCTGCAATCGACAGAAGCCAATAGCTGTTAATTTAGGCCTGTGACGAACATCTGACATATCTGACAAATTCCAGCCCCTCCTATATAGCAAGTATGAATTTTGCCTGTAATTAATATAATATCTGTGAGAGCAAAAAGCCCTAGATGATATTATGGTGCCTCTTGGACAAACGATCTATGTTATCAGGGGTCAGGAAGCTCCAGACATGTATCAAGTCAAAAATATCTAAGGAGCCCAGTAATCTATGTTTAGGCTTAGAACTAGTCTCTCATGGGTTTAGAAAAATATATACACTGTGTTTTTAGGACCCAGTGCATCAGAGAATTCACTCTTGCTCAGCCAAAGAATCAATAGACTAGAAGCCAGAGCTGATTCAATCTAATAACCAGAATACAGAAATCCAGAAATGGCCCAGTCTCACTTGTGATTCTGCCACATTTTCATGAGTCACTGGCTCACTTCTTCAGATACCAAAACATCTGGAGAAGTGAGCAGGGACTCACGAAAGCTCATTCCCTTGCCACAAATGTTGTCAGTCTTTAAGGTGCTCCTGGACTCTTGCTCTTTTCTACTGCTACAGACAAGACTAACACGGGCTCCCCATCTTGATCTAGATCCATACATTTAACCTTTGCCGTACTGAAATACATTATACCCCACCCCACCCCCCAAAAATTCTGCTTACATAACGACGCAAAACTGCCGGTGCCTAGCAGGGTTGCCAGCCTCCAGGTGGGGCCTGAAGTTCTCCCAGAATCACAACCGGCCTTCGACTAACAGAGAATTGGTTCCCTTAAAGACTAAGTGGCTGCACTGGAGGATGGCCTCTACGGCATAGCTCCCAAATGAGGTCCCCTCTCCCGGCCAGGGGAAGACAGGAGGGCCTGGCGCGATCTGGTCCATGGGGACGCGAAGAGTCAGACTCGACTTGTGTGACTGAACAACAACAACCCCGCCCCCAAACTTGGCCTTTCCCAGAAACAACAACACACACACACCCAAGTTCAGGAATTTGCCACCCGGGAGTTGGCAACACCATGACAGCCGTGGCCCAGTCCTTCTCCCTTCCAAGACCTAAAAGTTCATCCCCCCCCCCCTTACTTCTAAGTAAACCTTCACGGGATCTGGCTGCACGGCTTCCCCGTAGGCTGCATCTCTGAAGTACTTCCTGCTCTCTTCCGCCATGCCGAAGGAAACCCTTTCCGCCTCCCCGAAGCAAAGAGCCTTTCCTCTCCGCCCCCCCAATCCTTGGCCGGCCTCTCTAGCAAACAACTCTGTGGATTTAACCTTTGCAGTGCTGCAGAGGAATGAAAAGCGTGTCCTGCCCTCCCACTGAGGAGCTGCCTTCAGCCAGGCTGCCGTCAGCGACGCAGTACGCGACTCAGTGGGGCTTGCTCTGGATAACTCTGCGCTCCCAGGAACGCAGCCCTGGTTCGGAGTTACTCCAGAACAGCCCCGTCCAGTTGCATTATTGGGCATCGCTGAAGGCAAGCAGGCTGAAGCCCGGTACAGCGGGGGCTTCATGGGAAGGGCAGCAAGAAGCTGTTTTCGTTCTTGTACAGCACTGTACAGCCGCGCTCCAGTTTTCCTTGAGATGGACCCACTTAACGGACTGATCCTCAGAAATTGGAGACCAAGCTCATAACATCTACAACAGATTTTTAAAAAGCCAAATAGAGGCTGTGGTCACACACACTAAATAATCGGCTTTCAATCCACTTTCAGTACACTTTCCAATTGGATTTTACTGTGTGAACTGGCAAAATCCAGTTGGAAAGTGCACTGAAAGTGGATTATTTAGTGTGTGGTGCTGCTCCTTGGGGTGTGGGGTGCAGGGTTCACGACACAAACGGCTGCAGGAACTGATCTGAATGAAGGAAGGAAGAAAGGAACTCCCTTCTCTCACGCAGCAGCTTTATTTATACACCGGGAGTTACAAGCATTAGAGCATCCTTAAGGAATGTTTGTGTGTGTGTGTGTGTGTGTGTGTAAGCTCTCAGGCAGCTGTCTGCTATCTGCCTTTCTCAAGGCTAACTGACTGCGTAGGAATCACCAGACTTCTCTCAGCACACAAACACTTTTGGGTTACAAATTCTCCAGGCAGGAGATTCCTGCACTGCCCTACATTAGTGTGTGTGACCACAGATGTTTTTCTTTCCTGAAGGACCAAACAAGCATATCTTAAAAAGCTTGATACTTAATATAGCACAATAACATTATTCCTGATCCACACACTACAACAAGGATGCTCCTGATCCACTGGGGTAATTATAAGAACATAAGAGATGCCAATGTTGGATCAGGCCAAAGGCCCATCCAGTCCAACACTCTGTATCACACAGTGGCCAGAAATACCAGTGCCACCAGGAGGTCCACCAGTGGGGCCAGGACACTGGAAGCCCTCCCACTGTTGACCCCCCCAAGCACCAAGATGACAGAGCATCACTTGCCCCAGAGTCCCTATCTATACCTTGTGGCTAATAGCCACTGATGGACCTCTGCTCCATATGCTTATCTAATTCCCTTTTGAAGCCGTCCATGCTTGTAGCCGCCACCACCTCCCGTGGCAGTGAATTCCAAGTGTTAATCACTCTTTGGGTGAAGAAGTACTTCCTTCTATCCATTCTAACCCGACCACTCAGCAATTTCGTGGAGTGCCCACGAGTTCTTGTATTGTGAGAAAGGGAGAAAAGTACCTCTTTCTCTACCTGCTCTTTCCCATGCATAATCTTATAAACCTCAATCATGTCACCCCTCAGCCGTCGTTTCTCCAAGCTAAAGAGCCCTAATCGCCTTAACCTTTCCTCATAGGGAAAGTGTTCCAACCCTTTTATCATTCGAGTTGCCCTTTTCTGCACTTTTTCCAAAGCTATAATATCCTTTTTAAGGTGTGGTGACCAGAATTGCACACAGTATTCCAAATGAGGTCGCACCATTGATTTATAAAGGGGCATTATGATATTGGCTGATCTGTTTTCAATACCCTTCCTAATAATCCCCAGCATAGCATTGGCCTTCTTTATTGCAGTCACACACTGTCTCGACATTTTCAGTGAGTTATCTACTACAACTCCAAGATCTCTCTCTTGATCAGTCTCTGCCAGTTCAGACCCCATCAACGTGTATTTATAGTTAGGATTTTTGGCTCCAATGTGCATCACCTTGCACTTGGCCACATTGAACCCCATTTGCCATGTTGACGCCCACTCGCCCAAAATTGACAGATCCCTTTGGAGTGCCTCACAATCCTCACTGGTTTTCACCACCCTGAACAACTTCGTATCATCCGCAAATTTAGCCACTTCACTGCTTACTCCCAACTCCAAATCATTAATGAACAAGTTAAAAAGCAGTGGACCAAGTACTGATCCCTGCGGTACCCCACTGCTTACCACCCTCCACTGAGAAAATTTCCCATTTATATTCACTTTCTGTTTTCTATTAATTAGCCAGTTTTTGATCCATAAAATGACTTCTCCTTTTATCCCATGATTTTTGAGCTTGCTTAGGAGCCTTTGATGAGGAACCTTATCAAAATCATAAATGTCACTTTGTCAGGCCGGGCCATATGTGCCATAAAATGTAATGCCAGGTACCAGAGATATAAACTTCAGAAAGGACACAGGTAAACCAAATTAAAATATTTTTTACTCAAAATACAAACATGCTTAAAACATTAAGCCGCTTGGAACCAAGGCAGTCCCAATAGAGTGAGTCAGAAAACGAAGCTCAGCAGGCCTGAAGCATAAGTACTTTGTTGCCCCAGAACACAACTAATGAGAACAAGAAACTCCATCCACTCCAGCAGCTCTCCAAAACCTCAGGGGCTGAAGAGGTCCAAACAACCCCGACTGAAAGGCACAGTACCCTCTGGATACATTACACCTTTTGCAAAGAGTCACTGAGAATTACAAGGCTCTGTTAACCCATGGCTCCAAGGATTCACAAACTCCACCATTAAGGAGAAAAGCAGCCAGCCCTCTTTGCATCCCATGTTTTTACAAACTCTGAACTCAGAATCATTCGAGAAGAGCAGACCCTGAGGGATCACCTACTCAGATGTAGATTTTCCCTCCAATTTTCCCCACTTCTGTGACTGAGCTTCTCTGAGTAACGTGCTTTTGTTTGTTGTCTTAAAAGTTTTGTCTGTCCCACCCTGTCATTGATATATTGTATGACTTTTAGCCCAGCCCTGGAACCTGAGGGAAGGATAAGGTCTGAACCCCTTGAAATGGCACTTGAGACAATATAAGGTCAAACAGATCAAAATATTTTATTTAACATTCTGGGAAAGGTCAGGTGAATTCGGGAGCTGGTAACTTTAAGGCAGAAATCAGTGGTTGTACAGATCATAGTTCTTAGTTACTTAGATCTTAATATCCTTATGGTTTCCCAAATAATATGATATTTCTTCTCAGAGTATCCTATAACCTTCTGGTTTCCTTGAGGCTGGTACCGTCCTTCAGTACCTAGCTCCTTTCCTTTGAAACCCCAGTTTCTATCTAACTCTTGAGGTGTCTACAGCAGTTTCCTTTTTACACCAGACTAGGAATCTCCTCAGAGCTCATTTTCCTGTTGTCACAGGGCCGGCAAAGGCAGGCCAGCAGAGCACATAGGGTGCAAGCATTCAGATACAAGTAGCAAAGAGCCAGAGAGTCATTACCTGAGGGGTTGGTCAAGAGGTCCAAGGGCTGCACACAAGCAGAAGTTACACAGAGCCAAAATCCAAACTCAGAAGCCAGTCCAAGGGTCACACGAGCAGAAGCTGTAGTACAATGACTTGTTGCTTCCACACCTAATAGCTTCCCTTGGCTGGTTTTTATAGCCTTGTGCTTACGGACTGTGCTTGCAGCTAGCTGCTCAGGGGTAATCCTGAAACTAAAGCAGCTGGTGTCAGACCAGGAGGCGTGCACTCTTGTTGTCTCTCCTGTTGTTCTGCCCTTAGCCTTTGTCGCCAGTGCTCTAAGGGTCTGGGTGATTCTGGAAGGCTGGGAAAGATCAGCTGGGTTTTACCTGTTGCCTTAGGGCTGGAGGGTGTTGGTGGCTCTGCCCCAGCTGTTGGCTGTGAACCCTGAAAAGCCTGCAGCTCATCTTCTCATCTTCTGCTAACTCAGAGCCAGCTACATGGGTTCCTCTTCTCCTGAGGAGTCCTCACCATTGCTGAGTCCTGGCTGACCCATGACACCTGTTTAACTGGGCAGGGATTCTTCTTCTTCTCTCCTTAGAAGATATATTCCCTTTCCTTTGCCCTGAATGGGAGCCCCATCTCACTGCCAACTCTCATTCCTAGTTTTTTGGCTGGGTAAAACTGCCTTCAGCCTTGGTTGAGACTCAGACTCTTTCAGTTCTTTGACTGAACTCTTCCTCAGAGCTGATATTCAACAGTTAAGGAACAGAAATGTATCTCCAAATCAGGAATCTGTCAGAATGCCTATTCCCAGAGGTCATTTCGGGGGGGATCGCGGGGGATCGCAGTTCCCCCGGGTTGTTGTAAATAGTCAAAAATTGTTTAATACTCAGACTATTTGATGGATCTTGCTCTATTGGAAAGAAGAGATTTCTTTGCTTTTTAAAAATACTTTATTCTAAGGGAAAAGGTACACGGGATTGCTACAAATTAACAAAACACTAAGAGCTACATTTCTAAGCTTCCTATACTGAAGACAAGCACACACGTAATGGAGATTTCCTCCTTCTTCTTGACCCCTAGAAAGGAAGTCACCTGGAACAAATGACCAATCTGCATCAAAATAGAAGTTACTTTTCCCGGGCAAATCCCCCATTGGCTTAGTGCCAGGTATCCCTTCCAGGTCAGTCTAAACAATAGCAAACTAGGAATACAAGTTAACCCTATAATGACTGAATCAGACCTTGTAAACACATACATTTCCAACACCCCTTCTCAAGGTCTGACATGTAAGTCATACATACAAAAACATTATTAATTATTCAATTCAACATTTGTACCAATCATATTCAACATTTTACGTAGACGTTCAAATTTCTCTTTGGTCCGTGGCTTAGTCAGAATGTCAGCCACCATTTCTTCTGTACGACAATGCTCAATATCTATCAGCTTCTTCTGGTACAAATCCTTCACTAAAGCACACTTAATACCAATTGATCTACTTCTAGCTGTGGTGCTTTCTTCCTTACATATGGTAATACAAGCCTGATTATCTTCAAACATAAGTACAGGTACAGGTTCTCTTATTCCAAAGTCCTTTAACATATGAAAAATCCATTCAAGTCTACTACAGGCACTTGCTGCTGAAACACACTCCGCTTCCGCTGTAGACTGCGCCACAACAGTTTGTTTTCTACTAGTCCAGTCTATTAGTCCATCTCCGTAGAAAAATAGATATCCACTTGTAGACTTGTAGTTGTCCGATTCTTCTCCCCAGTTGGCGTCCATGTATACGACTAGTCTGGGCCCTTCAGACGGTGCAATTCTCAGTTGTAAGTCCATTGTTCCTTTCAGGTACCGCACCAGTTTCTTTATTGCACTCCAATCATGATGATTAGGCGAACTCACTTTTCTGCATAAGGTGCCAACTGCCGCTGTGATGTCTGGTCTCGTGGTTTTGCTCAGGTAGAGAAGTTTCCCAACTGCTTCTCTGTATTCTCCAATGTCTCTGAGTGGTTGTCCATTCTTTTCCTTCAGATATCCAGGTTCCATTGGTATGGATGATGTTTTACAGTCCTTCATGCCAATAGATTCTACAAAGTCCATAATCTTTCGTTTCTGGCATAGAAGAAAAGTCCCATCCTCGAGTCTCTCAATTTGCATTCCGAGGTACTGTTGTACATCTCCTAGCTGTTTGACTTCCACGTCCTTATTCAGTCCATCAGCTATGTCTTTGATGTCCTTTCTGTTTTGACAGGCCACGATCAGGTCGTCAACGTAAACAAGAACATACTGGTATTGTCCATTTTTAATTCTAGTGTACAGACAAGGTTCAGCTTTCCCTTGTTCAAAACCTTGCTTCTGTAGCAGTCCAGTAATTTTGTCATACCAGGCCTTTGCTCCTTGTTTTAGCCCATAGAGTCCTTTGTTGAGTCTGTAGACATAATCCTCTTGTCCTTTGACTTTAAAACCTTCAGGTTGTTCCATGTAGATTTCTTCGGATAGTTCTCCATTGAGAAAAGCAGTCTTTACATCAAGATGCTCTACAACCATGTCTCTTGATGCTGCAACACTAAGAAGTGTTCTGAAAGTTGCTTGGTCGGTAACTGGAGCAAAAGTTTCAAAATAGTCAGTCCCATATTCTTGTGAATAGCCTTTGGCCACTAGGCGTGCTTTGTATAGCTCCACAGTTCCATCTTCTTTATGCTTTATTTTGAAAACCCATTTGCATCCAACAGGCTTTCTGCCTTGAGGTAGCTTAGTAAGAGTCCATGCTTCCTTCTCGTAAATGGATAGTATTTCTTGTTCCATTGCTGTAATCCATTTGTCTTTTTCACTCGTAGGTAGGTTGCATACTTCCTTCCAGTTCTTGGGCTCCTTTGCGGATTGCACAGTTTCACAAAATCCATATTTCTTTGGTGGTTGCCCTTTAGTGCTCCTTTCTGACCGTCTCACACTGGTTGTGGGTTCTGCTGCCTCCTCTGGTGTGGTTCCCGCTTCCCCTTCTGTTCTGGTAGTTTCCTCAGAAGGTAGACCTGCCGGTTCCCCGGTGATCACTACAGGTAACCATGTCACCAACTCTTCAGGTGCAGTCCCAGACATCTGTGGATCAGTTGCACTGGAAACACTTGGCAAATCACTCTCATCAACAAATACAACATTGCGTTCCTTAACTGTGCAATTTTGTGGATTGTATATCCTGTATCCCTTTCCACCGATTGGATACCCTACTACGAATCCAACTTCAGCTCTGGGGTCAAGTTTTCCCCTTTTCTCCTTTGGTATGTGGGCATACCCTTTGGAACCAAAAGCTTTGATGTGCTTTAATCCAGGCTTCTTTTTAAACCAGGCCTCAAAAGGAGTGGTCCCAGTAAGCTTTGAGGGTACTCTATTGTGTAGATACACTGCTGTGTTCACAGCTTCAGCCCATAGGCTGTTTGGTAGTCCAGAATGCATAAGCATTGCCCTACACATGTCCTGAATTGTTCTGTTCAGCCTCTCAGAAGATCCATTTTGTTGAGGCGAATGTGGGATAGTCACCTTGTGTTCAATCCCTTCATGTTCCAAAAATGCTTTAAATTCAGCATTGCAATATTCTCCACCTCCATCAGTGCGTAAGCTTTGGGGTGCTCTGCCAAACTTATTTTTAATTGTGGCCAGGTAACATTTGAATTTATTCAGTGTCTCATCTTTGCTCTTTATCAGATACACAAAAGTATATTTTGTTTTATTCTCAGAAAAAGTCAAAAAATATTT